GCCCGCGTGCACACAGACGGGCCCGGCTCGCACCCGGCGAGGACGGGACCGGGAGCCGGCCCGCACAGATTCCTGCCACACCATCTGGATGCTTAACCAAACTGTGAGCAACCCAAAGGCAGATTGGGTAACCAGCCCCAAAGGGGTACTGGGTCACAGAATGAGGAAGGGATTGTTCAGCCTATTTTATTTAAGTTTTACATATATTTAATTTACTGAATAAATATAAAAAGTAAAATCTGTTTGCTTTTGTTATTTGAAATTCATCCATCATCCTTGATGGGCAATTCACTAGTATATATAATAATGATATCTTTACTGGTATATGTATATATAATAGTGATTGTGCTGTTTTTTATCTGGTGAGGATAGTGAGCCCCATTAGGCTCGTCTATTTACATGAAGCACTCTGTCACCCTTCCAGCCCTGGCTGCCTTTCTTTTAGTATTGAACATGGAGAATTCTCAAGAGATTTCTGACGCAGTAGGTCTTTTTCTAAAGGTAAACAACCATCTTCACACTGCTGATAAATTCTTACACTTTTGGTAAGATTACTGTTTTGGTAAGATTACTTCCGATCATGCTCTTTGGGTATCCTGAGTTCTGCTGACTGGCTAATCCTTTTAAAAGAACAAATGAGATTTTTGAAGCATCTGAGGTATATTGAACATGTAAAGAACAATAAGCAGCTCTCAAATCTTTTAAATATAAGGGTGAGTTGGGCAACTGGTTTTGCAAAAAGTTTTAAAGACACATCTTGTTCTTACATACACATTATTCAACAGGAGACTTTTCCCATTTTGGCGATTACCTTTTCCATTTTCTCTAAAAAGGAAAAAACATAATTACATACTTTTTATATCCATGTTTCCTGTTTCTTAATTTGGTAATACAAAATATACATACATATCACTACCATATGCCTATAGCAAAATAACTGTTTACAAGTGAAATGCAATATAACTTTGCATTTTATCATTTAAATACATGTGGATTACTAACTCACTACTCACTCTTTAGTCCATGTGCTTGTATAATGTTGGAATGTAATCTCATGGCATATTATCCCACAATGGTTC